TGATTAAATGAACCCTGGGCTTTTGGGGGACTGGGTCACAAGTGGTGGAAAGTTTTGGATTCTGATCTGTTCACCCTTTTCCCCAAGAAAGTCTCCTAGTTCAGACAAGGTTACTCACCAGGGCTGATGCTGGTCTGATTAGAAATGATACTCACCCTCGTAGCAGCAAAAGGCCAGAGTGACCAGCAGGACAGGGAAGGCCAGACTCATGGTTTTTCTGCTTTGAGTTTTCAGCTTTAGCAAACGATGAGCAACCAGGAGCTGGACTCAGGAGCCTGGGAGCCCAGGGCTATTTGTACCTAGTGAGCCTCACTGGTCCTGCCCACATAGGACGTGGCAGGTCACAAGGCCTGGCGTCCAGCCCTCCCTCCTCACTGAGGGCTGATGCCATCCATCCGTGTCACATACCACAGTGAATGGTCAAAGCTAGACATTGTTGGCACCATGCACCTCTCCTTTGTATAAAAAACCAAGGTTGTAGATTTTACAAATGTATAGTCAGCGAATTGATGGGAGTTCCCCTGGAATTTAGCTCCTTAATGGCAGGGCAGTGTCTGGTTTGGTTCATTTTAGCATTGTGCTTGGCACAGAGAAGAGGATCATCAAATATTCACAGAAACAATGAATGAACATGAATAAACAAACCACTGAATCTAGTTAGGGCAAAAGAAATCAGTGGTGTTCGGTATCACAAGAGAAAACATTGCCAAAAAGAAGATTACCTCCCTCAACTAACTTTCTTGTCTAACCTAATGTTTCCATCAATATTAAGAGAGATTTCAATCAAATCAAGTGCTAGTTTGATCAAAAGAAACTCCTGTTCAGTTTCTGCTGTCCATTAGGAGGATCACAATGGGTCATCAGGGACCCAGCAGAGGAAGCGCCCACTGGAGAGGCTGGTCCTCCGCCACTCCCCAACCATAAGCACAATGCTCTATGGAAAATTCGGGGATGGGGCCATGACAGTTCTGAGGAAAGCCTTTAGCAGGTAGCCTGGTTACAGAGCAGCATGCTTGAGAACCACTCAGAACAGACAGAATTTTGACATGAAGAAATGCTGGGAGGAGGGATCCGAGGCAACAACAGCATGAGGGATGACGAGACAGCTTAAACCGTGTGGCTTGTTGGGAAATACGAACCCAGGTTACTCTGAAACATACAGGAGAACATGGTGGAGGAGTGAGGGCTTTGTGACTGGAGAGACAGAAGGGGACAAAGTAGCAGTTTCCATTTTACTCTGTGGACCATGGCGGCAGAGTGGATGGCTGAGGTGAGACACACCTAGATATTCAGCCCTGGTGCTTTCTTGCTGTGTTTCAGATCTCAAGTCAAAATCACTTGGGAGGACTTCCGGTAAGATGGCGGAATAGACAGACGCTGTGCCGACTACCTCCCAGGATCACAACAAAATTACAAATAATTTATAAGATATTCAACCTCGGAAGTTCCCTGGACCCTAGATGAGCAGAACCTCTAAATGAACGACTTAAAGAGGAGGCCACGTCAAGTCCAGTAGGAGGGGCGGAGATGAGAGAGGGCGAACCCCGTGAGGGTCACCTCAGCGGTGGGGAGGCTTCTCCGGTTGGGGGCGAGACCCTCCGGCCCCACACCGCGCTCACCACCCTAGAGTTACATTGCCGGGAAGAGGAATTCTATGATAGCTGGAAGGAGAAAATAGTGAGGACTCTCTTTGCTCAGCTCAGTGAGGCTGGGGGCGGCTGGAGAACCAGTGGAACCAGCAAACTGACTCGCTTGCTGGTGAGCACTCACCTGGTTCCTGGTGGAGGGAGTGGCTTTGTGAGCGGAGCCTAGGAGCCTCCGGGAAGGACTGAACTGAGTGCCTTTGGCGTGGGAGCTGGAGGTTTTTGGGACCATTGTTTCCCTGGTGTGGAGCTTGCACATGAGTAGTGCACAGGAGGCCGCCATTTTTTCAGGGCTGGGCCCTCCCACAGAGGCTCAGGTTTGGAACTGCATTGGTCTGCTGGAATTGGCGCAAGAGTGCGTGTGTGCGTGCGTGCATGTGTGCGCATGCGGCCTTGGATCCCCACCCTCCATACTGTTTGTGCTGCATACACAGGGAAACACCAGGCAAGAGCTCTCCGATTACAACAGACTGCTTATTGAGACCCGGAAGTGCACGAATCGCCTTAGGTCCCTGATTTCCGCACTGCGCGTGCAGAGTGGTCTTGGTGGCAGTTGGCTGTCGGGCTGTTCGGCCTGATCTTTGAGTGGCTTATTGGGACAGGCTGAGACAGGGAGTTTTCTTGGGAGTGTAGGGCCGCGAGCTGTGCACCTGCATGATTCAGCCGGGGCTTTCCAGGCGAGTTTGTGTGGGTTGGCTGCTGATGCAGGAGTGCATGCTGCTCTGACTTGGTGGGGACCACTGACCAAACCCTGTGGTGCCTTGGGGGCCTGCCCTGCTCACCTAGAGCTGTGTTGCCAGGGGCACCCTGAGCCCCTGGTCCCTAGCTCCTACCTCTGCAGGCCACAGAGTTTTTTGCAGCAGCAGACAATGTGCAACAACCTGTGAGAATTTTTGGTGGTGAGCACAGTTCCAGAGCACACAACAACTAATTGTGGGAAGCTTACTTCAAGTCTAGAGGGAGGTCAGCGCATGACACACTGAGCCCTTCCCCCCAACAGCTGGTGCTGAGTCGCCCAGAACCTCTCTATTGCTGAGCAAGTGGTCTGCAGATTAAAGTGGGCAGAGAGCCCCTCCCTTTTTTTTCTTTTTCCTTTTTTTCCCTTTTTCTCTTTTTTCTTTTTACTTTTTTCTTTCTAGGTGATCTAATACATTGAAGCAATCAGAGTGACAGCCAGAATGAAGAAACAAAGAAACATGTCCCAAGTAAAAGATCAGAAGAAACCTCAAGAAATGCAACTAAATGAAACAGAGGTATCCAA